TAACACATAAATAAAGGTAAAAAATGGATGAGATATGTTGATGATGTCATCGCAATACTTAAAGGAAATTAAAAAAAAACATTGAATTTGAACAAGACGATTTTATTCCTTTTCTCGATGTGAATATAGAAAGGAAATAAGTACCAGTTAATATTTGAAATGGCAGAGTTTATTTTGAAGATTCAAATATGCTAGCTTATGAATCTAATGAATGAATACAGGACATTAAAGAAGCACTTTTCACGAAAAATAATTTCCACATTAGAGTCTAAATGAAATTTCATTCAATAATAATATCTTTTGAACCAATATTAGAAGAAAATATTTCAAATGAAAAAAAAAAGTTGATGAGTCAGAATAGACTCTAATATATATTCTCAAACTTTTGTAAAAGTCGTCCTTATGTGCTAAGGATGATACATGTATTGTATTGAAAGCTTGTAATAAAAATGAACTATTTCTAAGTACAACATAAGTCTTGTCGCTATCCAATGAAAGGAGAATTATCTTCTCAATCTAATTCTATTACAGCTATGTCTACCCCTGAATTCTCTCATAGAATTAGACAATGATCATGAAAAATCAAATGGAGTAGAGAAAGCCTTTGGCCATACACACACCAGACACCTACTCACAGCAACACCCATATTTTGAAGTTTTCAAAACTTTTTATCTGCTTTGTACGTAAGTCAATGAATAACTATTTGAAAATATATGAAGATAGTACAACTTATTTGCATGCTTAGTGATAACTAGAATATTAAACCTTTTAATACGACTTTGGGATGTGTTTGAAGAGAAGTGCTTCACGTCATCACCCACAACCATCCAAGTCGCATTCAATAATCATAGAATGAGTCATGCCATTAGAACAAGCAGTAAATCAAATTATAAAACGTTGAGGAAGTTTCACTCTTTGATTAATATCTCCAGTTTTATTAGCTCCTAGACAATTAGAAGACCATATCCTATCATCTTTCCTGTTTTAAAATCTATTAATATCGAATTGTTTTTAGCCGAAAAATAAGATTTTCATTGACATGGATTGTCTAATGTCTTTTATTGCGCATCTATCAAAGTTTATTCTTTTTAACTTTTGTTTATCTGTGACCTTTGATGGAATTCTTTGAATGTATACTTTTTATTCAATATCATCTTTGAATACACGTTGTCTACTGCTTCTTGAAACTAAATGCTGTTTAGCCACATGATGGATTGAATTTTCTTCTTAATTCTTTGAAGATGTAGTTTAACATTCCGGAACAAAACTTTCGTACGAACTCGATGTTTTTTATCTTGACGCTTACATAGAATGATAGAGCTGGTCTTGTTGAATATTTTAATTCACTGATTAATTATTAATCTTTACATTACATTTCGCAATATTTTTGAAATCAGATAATTACAATGATTTCCATCATGATGGTGCAACACTTATTTTTGATCATTGATTTGAAAACGTGTTTTTTCTCCTTTTCTATTTCAATAGAAGGTAACACCTTATTGACAGAATCGAGCAGCGTTTACATTCGTAGTTTTTTACGATACACTGATGCAGATATCAATCACTCATTCTGGAAGATGATGCAAATTTTTTTGAAACACCGTTTGCTACCAATTAAACATCCGTGTGACAACAGTACAACAATAAGATCACCAATCTTGACATGAAAAAATGATTTCATTAAACACAATTTCGAAGTTTTACATATTATCGTATTTTCTCTGTTAAAGTGAACAAGAGTTTTATAATCACATTTCGAATCTAGTCTTATTGTGACAAAAATTATCAACTGAAATCAATTGAGTTACTCATTTATATGATTTTTGTTAATATTGCTTTGGATAAATATTGATGAGTTCTCTTTCAATAAAATCAAAATGTATCGACACCATTCTAATAGGCATCGTTTGCTGATTCGAGAGAAAAAGTTCTACATGCATAGTGTGATGAAAAAAACAGTAGAAAATGAGAGCAGTAGGATTCGTTGATTAAATCGAATATTCCGTAATCTTTTCTTCTAAATTACTTAAATTGAATTAAAAATAGGAGTACTGCATTAAAGAATAATCGACGAACCTGCGAGAAGAACAGTGTTTAAAACCGTCGCCATAGACCGCTCGGCCATACTGTCGAAATATTTGCGTAATAAACATGTGTGAATGATGCAACAATCATCTGATAGATTCAGACGAAATATCAATCTCTCTTTTAAATAGAAAACATAAGTTGGATGAGTCATCGTGAGACATGAAAAGAAAACACGAAAACAAAATCATCAGAGCAATATGTTTGCATTGATTTTTCATTTTCCTTCCTGTTGTGTGATCGAAATTCCATCGATAAACATTGAAAAATAGTTTCGATCATACTTGCTTAACAATTCATTGCTAGACTGTAATTCTAACAAATGACAATAATAATAGAAACAGACACCAGCTAAACAAGTGAAGAATGTTCGTGCTGTCGTATCCCTCTCTTTTTTTGTATCAAAAAGTCGCCTATGTGCAGATCTTGTGAGGCGATAGGCTCAAGTATTTTCTAGAACTAACGGCGTGATTCAATTCAAAGTACCCTAAAAAGGGTGTGGGTGTGGGTGTGACAACGAGTAGTGAATACCTACACCCACACCCACACCCTATCCGTCTGTTTATATCCACCATCACCAAATGTCACATATTGCATGAGTCGTACACAAATAGCCTTCAATTCCAATCGAGCCAAATCTTGTTCCATACATTGACGATGGCCACCACCAAATGGTATTGATGCAGCTTTATTGTTATATTTCATATTTTCATTTAAAAATCTTTCTGGATTAAACTCGTTAGGATTTATTGATTCTGACCAATAGCGTGAATCGCGAGCCAAATTATAAAATGGAATAAATACTTGATCACCTTTGTTCAATTGTGCTCCACTTGCAGGTAATCGGTCGTCTATAATGAGTGTTCGTACTGTGCCAAGAACAGGTGGTACAAAACGAAACAATTCTCGAAGAACAAAATCCAAATAGGTAAGCGAATCGAGTTGTTGAACTGAGAGACGTTGAAGATGATACTCGGTTAATTCTCGTTTGATTTTACTCTGAATTTGTGGATATTTGCTCATGAGATAGATGAACCAAACGAGTACAGTCGAAGTCGTACTATAACCAGCTAGCAAAAATGAAAGCATCTTGCCTATGACTTCTGCTTGAGAGAGATTTGAAAAAAATGCAATATTTTGCATTGAGAAATTGCTGGAAGGTAAGTATCAACCTTTTTTATCATCTTCGATTTTTGTTGTTTCAAGTGTCTCATTTTGTTGCAATGAAGCAACTAGTGAAGCAATCAGACTCGTTCTCTTCCGTTCAGCTCTCGTTGTTGAACTTTCTTGTAATTCTTTTTCTATCATTCGTTGTAAATATCGATCAATAATTATTCTTGCTTGTCCATATTCAGGATTCAAAAATAGATAAAGTCAACCGATGATCGTTGGCAATTGTATGAGCTTCATTCCAGCAGTCAAATGTGTGTACAATGCATGAGTAAGTTCATGTTTACCACTGTTATTTTCATCATCAAGCGTTTGAAGATCAAAATCAAAAGCAATAAAACCAAAAATAGCCAATGTCAATTGTTGAGATTGTTCAATCATATTCAAATGAATTTGATTTGAATCATTATTATAAATTCGCCAACATGCCAATAATTTTTCTGTACAATCGAAAATTGTATCCAAATGTATGTTAATCTTACTGATACGAAACAAAGGACTGACAATACTTGCATGACGTTTGAATTTGGCTTCTAAAGTATATATTTGTTTTTAGAAAAAAAATTATCGAAATGGTAATTCATCAAACATTCTAAAAGATAATGAAACTATGTCATCTAACCTCGTAAGCATAAAATTGCATTTGGATTGACAAGACCGATTTTGTCGACAAAAATATCTCCTTGATCATAGATTTGCCGATGAGTAAAAATGTGTTGTACATCTTCAAGACAATTGACAACAACGATACGAGTAGGACCAAGCCAAAAATTGAAATATATCACCAAATTTAGCTTTCAACTTTAGAAATACAATATTCATTGGAACATTTCGTCCAATAATGCCTGTTTGTAGCAAATTTCCAAATAGAAATTGTGGTGGTAGACCAGGCAATGGACCATGCAAAGTGAAAAAAAACACATTTTACATAGTAGTATAAGACTAGTGCAAAAATAATAATAAATACAGGCGTAAATGATAGCATACTTTTCGTGTTGTTACTTCTTCAGAAAAAAAACCGTATATACGTAAAGCAATCAAACGGCAAGCAAGATCATTTTTTTTGTTCGGTTCTATTCGGTGAAGAAGTCGAGAGGAAAGATTGTTATCAGACGCTTTTCTTTGGAGGAAAATGCCAAACATTTTTTTTTCTTTTCTCTGGAGATTCAGCAGTTATCATGCATAAGTGCATTCTGTTATGAGATAGAGGATCGACGTTCTTTCTGATATAAGTCAAAGTATTTGTCAGTACGATAAATAGCTGAAGAAGATTTCCCTTTTCCCGTTTAGATTCTTATTCACAATTCAGTGCATAAAAAATAAAATTTTGATTGTTTGCTATCTTTTATTTTTCAATATCGGATCTTGTTTGATGCAAGAATGTGTAACATGAGTATATCATATTTGATTTTGACAATTAATTAGACACAAACAACTGATATTTACATCGTTAACTATACATATTGATACTTCATATGTTGTTCTATTTAATATTTTCAAATAAAGGTCAGTATTAGCTATTCCTTCTTTCATAGCTGAACTCTTGACCATTTAATTCACTTCAGACTACTTTCACTGTATACAGCAGTAGACAAACAATCATGCAAGAAAAACATGTTTCTTTTGTTTTCTACAAAAAAAATTGTTTTTAGACATATGAAGATTTTGAAAGACAGCGAAAAAACGTAATGTTGGATGAATATAAAAAAATTGTGTAATTTATTTTCAAACAAAAATTACATTACATATTTGAATCAAAAATAGGTATTGGCGATTGTAATTCTTCACATTTCATGCAAATGAATTCTCCATGAAGATGACTCGAACTTGTACATTCCATCTTTTTCTCACTTATCTCCTTAATTATTTGCCAATTGAGTTCATTCGGTAATTCTCGGAAAAAATCTGTTAAATTAAATGTGTCACTATTCTGACGGATATATTCTAATCCGTTTGTTGAATCATTAGCTTTGAATTGATAAATATCAATATTGAGTTCAACTTTGTAAAGACTATATGCTTGTGGATCTTTATCATAATGTTGTATACAAGGTAGTTTGAATTGTATAATTACCTTGAAAATTTTAGTTCCACCTAATTCTAATGGCATACCATTGTGTTCTATAGGCTTAATTGCATGCCAGTAGTGTTCACCCTGACTACACTCATCGTTGATTCTTTCGAGTACTTCGAGTGAATACTTTTGTAGAGTATTTTGTATTTGTTCTTCACTAGATTCATAGGAGTCTTCATCATCATCATAATATTCGGGTGAAATACGATAGCCAAAGAGTGTAACAAATAAATGAGCATGATGGAGAGATGAAGCCTTTACAAAGACGTGTTTGATCGTATATCCTACTCCATCACCATTCTCATTTGCGTGAGCTAATTGAAAGAGCATGATAAATTCGTAATAAAAAATAATTATCTCAAACGACTTTATATAGATACTATTACATTAGAGTATTTCACCATTGGTTTGTACTCTTGTGTAATTACATATAAGAAACAGAAAGATTTACATGAAGATATGAATTCTGAGATAAGTGTCGACTTAGTGAATTTGTTTATCTGAAGATTGCATAAAAATTGGTTCATTACCATTGCTACCATATGATACCCGAGAAATAATGTTTCAAGTCGAACAAGAAATGAGACTGAGATCAGACAACACTTCATCAATATCGATTGTAATCAGTAGAAGTCAATAGCTTCAGGAAAAACTTAATATTTATTGAATCATCCATGCGATATTGGTCGACGATGGAATAGGAATGAAAATTATCAGTCTTGAGAACCAAGATTGAATGCGATCTTGCTGATGTAAAATAGTAAACTAACATGAACAGACATTAATTATTTTCTGAAAAATTTTTTAAACAAACTAAATTACTAAAAACGTCCGTGATATTGCTAAAAAGTATCACGGGTGGTGTAGAACATAGTGGATTCTTTATATTGGCTTTTTTTTTATTCCATAAACTGTACTTATACAAGAACAAATTGTCTATACTTCTTCTGTTTACCGTTGTTGTTTTTTTAGAAAAAATCTCTTCATTTAAAAAAAAATGATTTGATCTGTCTGATGCATGTTCAAAGTGTAGGCTGAAAAAAATTCTTTATTTCGTCGTTCGATTTGTACTTCTCGGGAATGTATAAAAACACATAATTATTAGTGTTTTTCAAATGCATGTCATCCTGGAATACTCATATCAATGGTAATTCTCTTCTTCACTTTTAAGTAGTATCTGTGAAAACCTTCTGACTAAATGTCTGCCAAATGTTTGACAAACTGGGATTTCTACTGAAGGATGCAAATAGCGCAATCAAACTTATCAAGGAAAAATGTTTCGAACAATTTTGTTCAAAGACAAAAATTGAGTAAAATAGAATTACGTTTTCGAGAAAATGAGTATCTGTAGAATGTATTAGATGCTGTCGATCAAATGATAGAAAAAAAAAACAATGAAACAAGGAGTAGTTTCACATATCCAAGATTTTGGAGATGCCACCGCATCTCCCACGGGAGATGCCGCATCTCCAGTGGGAGACGCGGCACCCACACTCGGGAGATGAGGTCATTCACCACTGGAGATGTAAGATCTCCTTTAGAGAGACGCATCCCCCACACCCACACTCGCATCTCCCGCGCGAGATG